TGTACTAAAAGATGATAACTATAAGAAAATAGTAAGCATTGTACTAAAGAAGATATCCTTTTAGTATATCCACAAAAAAATAATAATAATAATAATAATAATAATAATAAAAAACCATAAATGACTGATTAAATATTTTTTTAGTTAATTCATGTCTATGTTTCTTTCTTTTTAATTTTTTTTTCTCTTTCAACAAGTTGATGTCTCCGTTTCAACTTTCAATTAATTAAAAATCAGGTCTGGACGGCATAAAAATTATTTAGAATTAAAAAAATATATGGATTAAATTATATTTCGGTCTCTCTTAATCATAATAGTTATCCTATTTTTATTATTTGACTTCGTCTAAGGAAACTATTTCCTAATTACCATCTTTATTAATAATTTATTTATTTTTACTGATTATTTAACAACCACCTAAATTCATTTAAAAATCCTACCCTCAACCTACTACATATGATTTTATATACTTTTTTTTAAGCAATATGGCTTTGTATATTTGCCCACATAAATATTTGTTAATTAAGTAAAATCATTACATATGTATTTATATTAGAATAATGTTTCATGCAAAATTTAAAAACTCAAATAAAATATTTTTAAATTTTCAAAGAGTGTAATAAGATAAGCATGAAAATTAAAAGATTTATTTATTTGTTTATAAATTTAAAGAGGAAAAAAAAAGTAGTGTTTGTAATTAAGGCTTCCATAATTGGCGTGATCACTGATTTTTGACTACTTTCATGAGCTTACTTAATTGGGTCAAGTGGGACCGGTGGGGCCCACATTTTCCTTCAACAATTTTAATTTCACCGTTTGAATTACAGGACAAGCTGGCCACAGCGAGTCTTCTCAATTAAATTAAGACTTAATTATTTAATTATTTTTTTAATTTCTCTCTTTCGAAGTTTTGGTAAAGGAGGAAGCAATTTATCTAGAAAGAGTGAATAATCTACCAATTGAGCAAACAAAATAATATCTTCTTTGATTTCAGATCCAATAAAACTTTAATGCTCAATAATGTCTAATTAATATCATTACCATCCAACCCTGAAATTTTATTATAATGTTTTTATTATTATTTATTATTTTAAAAACATAGCTTTTTTTTTTGTTGAAAAGAATTTTAGAAACATATCTTACCGTCTCTCAATTATGTCAATTTGAAAGAAAAAGGCAATTATTTATTTATCAAGTTTAATTCATCAATTTACTAACCCACTTCAATTATTGAAGCTTGATCATGTTTTTTCTCAAATTCCAATAATGAATTTAGAAACTATTTTCAAAATATGAAAGGTCTATTTAACTATAAAAATAGAGATGAAATCAATGTTGGTCAAAATAGTTAAAGGTGATAATTATTTTGGTTTTATCCTTTTTCCTTAAAAATTAAGTTTATAAATACAAGTTCCATTCATATTTCTTTATTTTGTTTGTTATCAATAAATTATATATATATATTTTTTCTGGAATGTTTTCAATTTTTAAAAACTAGTAAAAGTAGTTTTAAAAAAAAAACTTGTGTTTTTCTTTTTTCTTTTTTCTTTTCAAAAAATTGCCTCAAATATTATTGTATTTTTCAAGAAATGCAAAAAACCTACGGATGAGAAAACAAACGTAATTTTCTAAAACAACAAACTAAACACAAAAATATTATCCAACAGAATCAAATATTTTCATTAAAGTCTATTTAAATCTCAATACAATTTATTCCTATCAGTACTTATTTCATAAATATCAATATTAACTAATAAAAAAGAAAAGTAAAACATGGAATTAATTATAGTCAAAAGAGAAATAATAAATTTCTACCATTTTAAGTCATCTTATAAAAGACTACAGATAATTAGGTGGTGCCAGATTCTACAAATTAGAGAAAGTTGACAATTAGAAATCAGATTAGTGTTCTTGAAAATGTAATTAAACTGATGGAGGCATATAATTTTGGTTGTTGCATGGGCTAATCACTCCCTTTCATTGGTCTGGATCGCAAAATGACCATAATACCCTCGACATTCCACGTGTGCATCAGCCATTGGTCAGCCCCAAACGCGAGTTCACGTTAAGGTAGAGTGGAGCACAGTTTTTGGGCGAAGAAAACGCAGTATTTGGATGTGTGACGTAAAACCATTGGAAAATCCACAACTGTACTGTGGAGTGGAGCATCGTCCTTTTATTTAAAAAGGGCTTAAGGGTACTTCTATCAACAACCCAAAAAAGAAAAAAGGAAAAAAAAAGCTCAATTTTCTCAGAGCTCTTCTGCAGCTCTAATCCATGGCGGCTCTCTCTCTCTCCTCTTTCTCACTCCTCTTCTTTTTCCTTTTCTTCCACTCGTTCGCCGGAAAGGTCGCGCCGGACGGCCACCACCTCACTGTCGAACTCGCCGCCCTTCTGCCCTCCGCCGCCTGCAGCCGCCGCTCTGCCAAAGGTCTCTTTCTCTCTTACTTTTGCTAAATTTCAGTGTGAATATTCTGAATTTTGACCCCCCCTTTTTTAATGGTGAGATGGGAAACGAAAGTAATATTATATTATATTTTAATTATGGTAAAAAATTGATTTTACGTTAAACGAGGAAGATGAATAATTTTATTGGAAAATGGTACTTTGTTTCTTGTGAAGTTTTAAATTGGGGAAGAAGATAATCAAGAATGTAATTTTCTTTTTTTTTTTTTGGATGTAGTTGTTATACAATAAGCACGAACTATCATTAATCTCTCTGCCAAAAACGTGCTTACGTGTCATAAATATAGCCATGGCTATTTTTTTCCTTAGTTCAGCGATGGCTATTTCTTTATTACGACCTTAAATTTATAGTTTTACGATTCATTGAATATATATATATATATTTTTATTATTATTAGTTGTGGAAAAGTTTTAAAAAATCACCCAAATTAAAGGGGAAAAAAAAGACCAAATGGGTCTGTCTGTCTGTCTCTGAGCTTTATCTTCGTCAAATTTGAAGAATATGTTATCGGTGGGTTGTTGGTTTGTGGCTGAAAAGCAAAGGAGATTTTTTAAAGAGTCAATAAATGGGTCCTCAATTGAAATACTGAAGTGACTAATTACCATATAATTAACACATTATTTTAATATGATGACAAATTGTTTATGTTGGATTAAAAATTTTAATTACCCTAATTTTGATAATGGTTTCATTTTCTATTTACTAAAATTATATTTACCTACTAACACTTTCTTTATTTGTAATGTACTTCACGAAAAGATTTTTAAGATCTTGACCCAGATTTTAAAAGTTAGAAAGCAATTCATTTATTTTATTTTTTATGGAATCTTTCTTGAAATCTTGCTAAAGATTTTAAGCGTTCTTAATCTACAAGATAAGCCTAAATTATTATTATTTTTAAATCATTATCAGTTGGGTCAATTTTAATATAACGGGAAGTGCTACGGAAAGAATAATTACTAAAATATTGCTTATATTTAGAATTGTTTATAATTGGAAAATGATTCTTTTTTCATTTTTATTTTTATTTTTTTATTTTTTTGAACATGGAAAAATGATTCTTACTCATAGTCAAAAAGTACAAAAAGACAAACAAGTACACCGTCAGAGGTTGCAAATATTCCGAAACCTCATACGGCTGTGATATTAATTGTCAAAAATCATAAATGTAATTAATTCAGCTCCCAACTGAAGCCTAAAGCCGCCGCTATAAATGCGTTTTCAAGACCATCAGTCCCCTTCAAGTGAGCCTTCCAGAGGCCCATGGTTAAGACAATTCCTATTATTTGGCCCATTAAAAGAGCCCACCTTATACTTAATCTAGTACGTAGCCCATTTGTCAGCCCAACTTCGAATCATATTTACTAACTTTTTCCTTATGGAAACAAAATAAAACAAAAAACCAAAATTAATTTAACATAATTCTATCCCATTCTTATAGTACAACAAAGTGGAGGTGAGAGACTCGAACTCATGATTTATTGGTCAAAGACAGGTGTTAATTACCGCTAAGTTAAGTTCATATTGACCATATAATTATGTTGATTAAGCATACTCTAATTAGAGTTAAGACATTAATAGCTTTATTTTAAGTTATAGATTAGAAACACCTCGTCATATTCTTCTTTTTTTTTAGCTATAAAAGTTGATATAATTATTCATTTGATAGGAGACTAACAATGCTTTTTCCCATTACAATATGTTCAAGTTTTGATTACACCTCTTTTTTTTTAAGATCGTGATTATTATTAGATTAAAATACTAAAAAAAGTCAACATGAACCTAGTTTAGTTGTAATTTACATTTACTCCTGCGGTTTTGTATCTTGTGATCTACAAATTGTTATACTGAAAAAAAGTTAAAAATTCTCTCGAAATTGACTGGGTTGTGTTGTGGTGGGCCGGTATCCCAAGTTACAGGTGTGAAAAAAGAAGATTCGTCTCCGTCTCTGGAGGTGGTTCACCGGCATGGGCCGTGCGCCGGAGCTTCAAAAGCGCCGAGCGAAGCGGAAATCTTTGTCCGCGATCAGGCTCGGGTGGACCTCATCCACTCCAAGTTCTCAGAGGAGTCTGGTTCGGGTTCGGTCCAGCGTATACGGCCGTCGAAGGCGACGAAGATTCCGGCGAAGTCCGGCGCCACCATCGGGTCCGGTAATTACATAGTGAGCGTCGGATTGGGGACGCCGAAGAAGGAGCTGTCGCTAATATTCGACACGGGGAGCGATCTGACGTGGACTCAGTGCGAGCCTTGCGCCAGATATTGCTACAGCCAGAAGGATCCGGTTTTCGCTCCTTCCAAATCCACCTCTTATTCCAATATCTCTTGTTCCTCCCCTTCCTGCTCTCAGCTTGAATCTGGCACCGGTAAGTAATTCTAATTTCTACCTTTTTACTTCCTCCTCCCAAATTTATCTCTAATAAATTGATAAAATTATTAATTTTGTGTCAATATATTTTTTAATTGTAAAAATTAAGAGATTTTTTAAATAGGAAATTTAAAGTTTAGAGATTAATCAGATTGTTTAGAAATTTATTAGATAATTCATTTAGATTTTTAATTAGTTACTCAACTTTATCTGTTTATTTAGTTTATAATTTAAAATTTTTTAATAAATCACTATCTTTTGACGTTATCAACTGTTTGAATACTTACCCGACATTTGTGTTGATATATCATATGGTCCTCGTAATAATATTTGGTTTAATAAGGAATTATTGTGAAATTACAGGGAATGAGCCAGGTTGCTCCTCCGCGACGAAGTCGTGTATTTACGGAATACAATACGGCGATCAATCTTTCTCCGTCGGATATTTTGCCAAAGAAACGCTAAGTCTATCGTCATATGACGTCATCGAAAACTTCCTGTTTGGATGCGGCCAAAACAACCGCGGACTCTTCGGTAGCGCCGCCGGCCTTCTCGGCCTCGGCCAGGACAAAATCTCCATCGTTAAACAGACCGCACAAAAGTACGGCCAGATCTTCTCCTACTGTCTCCCCAAAACTGCCAGTTCCACCGGCTACCTAACATTCGGCGGCGGCGGCAACGGCGGAGCGCTCAAATACACGCCGATCACGAAAGCGCACGGCGTCGCCAATTTCTACGGCCTCGACGTCGTCGGAATTAAGGTCGGCGGAACTCAGTTGCCGATTTCGTCGTCGGTCTTCTCGACCTCCGGCGCGATCATCGATTCCGGCACGGTGATCACGCGGCTGCCACCGGCGGCGTACGACGCCTTGAAATCGGCGTTTCAGAAAGGCATGACGGCGTATCCGAAGGCGCCGGAGCTGTCGATCCTGGACACGTGTTACGATCTGAGCAAGTACACGTCCGTAGACGTCCCGAAGGTGAGCTTCCTCTTCAAAGGTGGAACGGAACTCGATCTGGACGCCATCGGAATCTTGTACGGAGCATCGCCGGAGCAGGTTTGTTTGGCGTTCGCCGGAAATCAGGATCCGAGATCCGTCGCGATTATAGGGAACGTGCAGCAGAAGAGTTTGCAAGTGGTCTACGATGTCGGTGGAGGGAGGGTGGGGTTCGGCTATAATGGTTGTTAGGGGTAAAACTATAAATAGGCTTTCTTTGTGGGGCTAATGGGGGAAATAGGGATGATAATAAGGGCCAAAGGGCAATTGAAATTATTATACTTAAGAAATGTGTGGTAAAAAGGAAGATTTGAAAGAAGTTTGCAAATTGGGTATACTTTGCAAATGTATAGGGTTAAAACCTAAAAGCCTTTGTTTGTTACTTCTTATTGTTGTAATTGTAATTTGCAACAATTACCCATTAAAATGTTTGATGAAATTACAAAAATTATAACCAGAAATGACTGGAAATGTAAATTTGAAGAAATAATGAACTTATAGAACCGTTCACTCGTAGAAAATGTTTTTAATAGTTAATTATATGGTAAACAAAAAAGAAATATATATATATATATATATATATATATATATATATATATATATATTTGTTTAGTACAACATGTTGGGGATGAGATTGAATCTACAACCTCATGGTCAGGTATATGTCAATTACGGTTACTTTGACGACCTAATTCACATTTGATATACTAATTTGATCAAAATTGATTTATATTTTTTAATTATATTGATTCATTAAGTGTTAAGTAAACTAACTAAAAATCAATTAAGCTTAGTTTGTTGGTTAAAGTAATTATTAAGGGAAATAGCCACATGAATAATTTTGTACTAGAATGAAACTTTGAGACTATTACTAACAATGCATCAGCAAAAGGTTTTTTTGAAAATTCAATCTGGAGAGGCTGAAAATATATATATGTATTTTATTTTTTTTTTAGCACAACTGAAAAACAAAAAATTATCAAAAAGTACTACAAAACTATACATACACACCCACTAAGCTAAAGAATAATGAAACTCAGATGGTCTAGTTGTAAAATAAAAAAGTATAGAGGTGTGTTATAAATTCCACTTGTTTTTTTGTTTTCCCCTTCTCTAGTTAAAGTCAAATTTTTGTTTATCAATTGTTTGGTAAATTTAATTAATTATTAATTGACCATGTATGTCCAATTGAATAGTTTACATCTTGCATAACAATATTTTTTAGTTGATTTTTTTTAATCTTAGACCTAATTTTCTTTTCAAATCTAATTACAAATTTTCAAACATATCCTTTAATTTTATAATAACTCAATTTAATCATCACATATTTTTACATTTCATATATAAAAAGCAATCAATTATAACTTAATTAAAATATCATTAAAGTTTTTTTGTTAATTAAAATAATTTTTATTAATTTTTGTAATTTATCACACGACATGTCCATAAAATCATATTTGGTGGTACTTTTATTAATAATTTAAATTTTATTGGTAGAAACTTAATAAAATCATATAATAGTAATAATTAAAAAGTCTAATAGAATAGAGTTCGGTTGACACGTAAAATGTATTATCTACTCATCTATATCCCCGAAATTAAATTGAAAAGATAAATTATAATCACCAACTTTCCAATTCCAAATAAAGAGTGAGAGCCTCCATGAACTTGTGAAAAAAAATAATCATAAAATTAATTTTTAAAATAGTAACTTGGAAACTGAAAGTTCAAGATTAAATTAACACACAATATTTATTTAAAAGAAAAAAAAAAAGAAACTTCGAAACTTCGAGGATTGTTTTTATTGGGGGATTCATTTATTAAGTTGAATCCCCAATTCGAAGAATGAGTTTTCAATCTAGTTATCGCAATTATTCTCTTCAACGATGTCGCTA